CAGATTGACACTAGCCCCTAAATCTAATAAGGCCCTATCAATGAAATGGTCCCTTATAATGCATGCAATGGTTGGGGCACCCGGGTCCTTAAGCTTAGGAGGTGTGTCATTCAACAAGATGAAGCTTTCTTGCTCCGTGAGTAGGACCTTTTGGGACACATGTGTCCTAGATTTACGCTTTTGCGTACAAAGGTCCTTCAGAAATTTGGCATAGGGGGGTACTTGCTTAATCGCCTCCAGCAGGGGGAGGTTGATTTTTACCTGTTTAAAGACCTCCATCATTGCCTCCATAGATACCGCCTTCTTAGTAAAAGGGGACGGTGTATCAAGGCATTGGGGAAAGGGTGCCTTAGGCACATATGGTGCCTTGGGCTCATGTGAAGTGTTAGGGACTAAGTCATCCCTCTTAAGTGTTTCCCTCTCACCTTTGCTCTTATTAGGTGAACCACAGTGGTCACCCTTCTTAGCTCTAGTTGCATCAGAAGCAACTGACTGAGGCTCTAGCTCCCTCCCATTTCTCAAACTAATCACTGTTTGCACCTGCTCATGGTGCTTTCCATTCCCACCCGAACTCTCTGTCTCGTATTGTCCCTTAGGGTTGGCCACAGTTTGACTTAGTAATTTTCCCTCCTCTCTCCGATTCATGTTGTTAGCTATTTGACCCAATTGGGCCTCTAGCTTGGCAATAGAGTGAGTGTGGGAGTAAACTACCGGTGCTAACCCCTTAAGTTCTGAGAGAACTTCCAACACCTGAGTCTCAAAGGCAGAGTTGCCTTGAGGAACATGCGGGGGTTGTGGGGGTCGATAAGGTTGCGGTGGTCGGTAGGATGATTGGTTAGCAAAATTATTAAAATTCTGCCCTAGTGGCGGAGGATTGTAAGAAGTGCCTTGTGAAGGGGGTCTCCATGAGAAATTAGGGTGATTTCTCCATCCCAGATTATATGTGTTGGAGTATGGATCATTACTCGGGTTGGAGAATCCTTGAGCTGCATTCACATGCTCTTGGACTAACTCCGGAAATTGTGATGCCGAAGGGCACTCACTCAAGTCATGAGCAGGGCTCGCACATATAACACATGCCTCGTGAAATGGAGGCTAATCTTGCTGGGTAGGGGCATGTCCCGCAGCTAATAATTGGTCCATCTTGTGGGACAGTGCCCCTACTTGTTGGGCTAACTCTAGGTTTTGCCCGACCTCATAAATGCCCCATCTTTTCGGGGCTCTAACTATTGGTTGCTAGACTTGCCGGGCTGCGGAGGCATGGTGAAGGGAATTATCACTTAGGTTCTCAAACAATTGCCATGCCTCGGCATCATTTTTAGACATGAATGTCCCACCACAGGATGAATCCACCATTTGGCGGTGCGGCTTAGTTAAGCCGTAATAAAACGTTTGAACAAGTTGCCAATTAGGCACTTGGTGGTGGGAACATTGTTGGAGAAGGTCTCGAAGTCTTTCCCACGTCTCATGGAATTGCTCGCCATCTATTTGAGCAAAGTTTGTGATGGCTCGCCTAAGTTGGTTAGTTTTGCCTATGGGAAAGTACTTCTCCAAGAACCGTTGCTGTAATTGGTCCCAAGTTGTGATTGAATTAGCAGGTAAAGAATTTAGCCAGTGTTTGGCTTTATCCTTTAATGAGAATGGAAACAATCGCAACATTAAGGCCTAATTTGTGAAATTCTGGATCCTCACTGTCGAGCAAATTTCTATAAATTCATTCAAATGCTTATAAGGATCATCATGAGTTAGTCCATGGAATGATGGGAGCATTTGTATGGTGCTAGACTTAATTTCTTAATGAGTAGCAGTGGTGTTGGGTAATTGGATGCATGATGGTGATGTATATGCAGTGGGTGTGACATAATCCTTAAGTATCCGGTTAGGCACATTTGGGACATCAGCATCTGCCATCTCTAATGGCTCAATGTATGAATATGAATACTCAAGCCTAGGAACACAAGCAGAGGCCCTAAGTCTCCTAAGAGTCTTTTCTAGTTCAAGGTCCAAACTCCACAATTCAGGGCGATAAGAACGGAGCCCGTGTATACATTACCCACACACACACAAAAAGTTCGACTCTGTGCACTAAGTTACGAAAGCAAAATGCCAAAGGAGAAATACTCACAGTGGTTTAACGAAAACGTTTAACTCGTCTTGCGGATGCTTGACGTGTAGACGTTGTCTCCAACCTCTATTTGAGTTTTGACTTTTGTTTTAGCACTTTGGTGCTTTGCTTGCGAGTGTTTGCTTCTGTTTATGCACTTTAGTGCTGTGATTTTTTTATTTTATTTTTAAAGCTCGGCTGCGCTCCGCTTGCACTTCGGTGATAGCTCCAATTTCAAACGCTCTGCACACTTAGCAACACAAAAGCATAAAATCCTAAACTAAAAAATTAAAATAAAAATGTAACTTTAAATTAATTAATTTCGCCAGAACGGCGCCAAAATTTGATGGGTCGTTGAACACACCAAAAATAAATCACTAAACTATACCAAATTCTATCAGAATAATGGCAAGTCCAGATATTGATCCGCAGGGACAAATGTGAAATTAGATTAATTCAATCGCAAAATTCCTAAATTAATTTTGATTAAAAAGATGAGATTGATTTTATAACTAAATAACAATTAACAGAAATTAAGGAATTAAACTGACAACTAATATTAGGGTTGGAGATATTAATTTTTGAGAAAAATCCTAAGGTAGAGAATTCACCACTAGCCACATGAATGAGACTTAACATCAGTCATCAATCGCAATTCAGTTTGAACTACCCAATATTTCACAACTACAAGTTTGAAATATTAATCAAGAGAGTTGTCACATTCAACGTACAAGCACGAATCATCTCGAGTAGTACAAGTCGTTTGCTCTAAACTATGTTAGCAAAACGATCCGACTCTCATAGCATGACTCATCTCGTACTTTGAATACAAACACAAAGAATACTAATGTATAGAAAGCATTAAACAATCACAGAGAGTAAAATGCTTGAAGAGATGAACGAAACAATTATTAAAAAACTTCTAAATCATCCATACATTCATTCAAACCAATTTACAATTAAAGCTCATGAAAAATTCCATTACACGATTAGCGTTTCATCAAAACCCTGGAAAAGACGACTAGCCACTCATGGAGGAGTGAGATGAGGAAGAAGATGAGGAAGAAACTTCCATGGAAGTGTCCTTCAAGCTTTGGTAGAATATCACCTCTTTGGAACCCTAGCCTCCCTCTATTCTGAATTAACTTTTCAAACCCTAGGTTTGGCTATTTTTCTCTCTTTTATTCGCAGCAAAACAGACCAAAAATTCTGTGCACGCGTCCCTAGGTGGGCCGCATGTGCGGTGAAGCTTGGCCGCACGTGCGGTAGTCTGGCTGGCTCGGATTCTTCACTTCTCGCATGGAGAATTTGCTTTCGCGCCCTTTTTTATTGAAGTTTCATATTTCTTGTCAAATCTGTACAAGTGCACGAAACACATCATCTCCACCAAATAAATAAAATTGAAAGACTAAAATTGTAACTTAAGTGGCCTCAATGTGGTACCTTTCAGCCAACATCAGTTTGCTTTTGAGAGAGTGATTTTCAAAAAAGTTTTTGGGAAGAGAGTTTAGAAATTTTTTTGGTTTGTTTGGTTGTATATTTTGAAAGTAGTTTTGGGGTTTGGGAGTTTGAGATGTTTGATATTTTGTTGTAATGGAGTAGATTTGTATGACAGAAAAAGTAATTGAGAACGAGAGATGAAAGAGAAAAAGTGATTGATTGATGTATAAGAGAGAGAAAGTGATTTTGAAATTTTTTTGAGAAAAACCACAAACCAAACAAAATTTTGATTTTTTTTTTCAAAAACAGCTCTCCCAAAAACAAAACAAACAAGCCTGTAAATTTTGTAAGTTGGGTGGGAGTATTTTAGTCATTTTAGTGTGATGTGACACTATAAACAAATATTAACACCGAAAAACAAAAAAAATAGTTTTTTACCAATTTCCCAAGCCACTTTCTAAAAAAGACAAAAAGCTTGGTAAAAAGTTAAAAGCCAACTTTTTACCATCTTCCCAAAATACTCCTAAATCTATAATCCAACAGTTTTACCAAATAGATTAATAGTTTCTGATTAAAGTCATAATCTATAATCTATTAAACTATAATCTATAATTTGTTTTAACAGTTACATCAAACGGGGCCTATAACGTTCTGATCTGAGTTGGGTTAAATTTAGATTTGGCATCCTCTAAAAAAGCCAAAAAGTCAAAAAGTCACTATCGTATCACACCATCTTATTTAAGTCATATCACCTCTCTACCACCTCACTTCAAACTCATCTCATATTTCATAAAAAATTAAAAAATATATTTATTTAAAACATCCCAAACAAGTTAGCAACTGATTATCTTAGGACTTAGATTTACGGATGTCATAATAATACCTCAAAATATCTTTTTTTTGATAAAAAAAAGAGATTAATTTTGATTTTATAGTGATATTTCGAATTATTGTTTATATTATAAGATTTTATATCATTTATATAAAAAATTACTTTGGTTCATCATTTATTCTTTAACAATGGTTGGTGACCCGAAATTTAGTGGCTCGAATGGCTCGAAATTGTTAAAACGACATCATTTTGAACGCAAAACAAGCCAAAACGACATCATTTTAACAATTTCAAATCATTTAAACTACTGATTTTGTAACTTTCAAAGATTTTTCTTCCTTCTTTATCTGGTTCTTATTTTATAATTGATTCAGGTATTATGCTGAATCGTTATCTCTTTTGACATGATGGCAGAGGTTACTTTTTATCAGTTTTGATTGGTACAATTAATTTGGTATTATTAAATCAACAATGATTCATCCCACTAAAAATATCACCACTAATAGCACTAATGCATTAAAAAAATAAAAAATAAATAAAAATAAATACAACTCCAAGACCAAAACATCACATCATTAATGGCGGGACCCACTGCCACCTAATTAGTGGGAGCACTAATTAGTGCTCCCAAGCATTTTTCTTAATATATCATAGACTTCTTCACATACGATTATCAAGGACTCCATCCATAGTCTTGTATACCTGTCTGTATAATCAGAAAAAAAGAAGAAGAAGAAGAATGGTGTCGCAGACGATTGATCTGTTGAAGGAAGAGCTTCCGGTGGAGCAGGAGTCTCTGGTTGTGTCCGGAGACGTCAAGACCGGTCTGGTTATCGTCGACGTTGAAAATGGCTTCTGTACCGTCGGAGCTGGCAATTTGGTACTTTCTCTTCCTCATTTGGTTTCTGATTTACCCTCTGTTTGTTTGCTGAGAAAACCAAGGAAGATTTACATATACTTCTTATCTTTCTTTTTTTTTTGCCAATGATGAAAACATCGATATGAACTAGCCCAACAGTTTCTAGACTCGAGTTTTTGTGTGTGTGTGTGTGTGTGTGGTGCAAAACCGAAATTCTAGAATTTCTACAACTTGAGATCCGAAAAGACTGAAATTTGAAACATGGATTTAAAAGCAGTTAATCAGATTTTATTTTGTGCTCTAAATCATCTCCTTTACTTATTAATATATATTATATGCTGCATATTCTAATTTTGGTTTTGAGTATTAATTGTTTTAGTAACATATTATTATTGTGTTGCTTTCCCCACTTTTTGTTGTTTTTACATGGGGTTTGAGTATTAATCGTTTTAGTAACATATTATTATTGTTTTTTCCCCCCCCCTCTTTTTGTTATTTTTACATGGCCATTGAATTGTTAAGATTCTCTCCACTAAAAATGTTTAAAATGTTTTATATATGGAAATAGTGGTGCTGACCTCTTTATATGTGTTGAATTGTTTTCTCTGCAGGCTCCAACGATGCCTGACAAACAAATTTCTGGAATGATCGATGAGACATTGAGGCTTGCCACCGTGTTTTGTGATAATAAATGGCCTGTTTTTGCTTTTCTAGATTCTCATCACCCTGATATCCCCGAGCATCCCTATCCTCCTCACTGTATTGCAGGAACAGATGAAGCAAAATTGGTTCCTGGTATTTTCATCTCCTCTATCCGGCTTGCTCTCTACTTAGTTACTATATATATATATATTAATTTAGCACTGAATTATTACTGGTGACTTAAGAAGCGTGAATAATTTGCTTTCCTTTCTTGATTTCTTTGTATTATGTTTAGCTCTGCAGTGGTTGGAAAATGAACCAAATGTAACTCTTAGATGCAAGGATTGCATTGACGGGTTTCTCGGTTCTATTGAGAAAGATGGTTCTAATGTCTTCGTAGATTGGGTGAAAACCAACCAGATCAAAGTTGTAAGTATTTCTATTTCCCACAAAGTGACCATTCATTTATAATGTTTCATTGTTAAATTGACATCTCCGTGGGAATTAGTTTGGGTTCTATTGCTTTACATGATGGTGAGATGAGAATGCATGTGTAATTTGACCCATATTTTCCTTCTGAAGATATTGGTTGTAGGGATATGCACGGACGTCTGCGTCCTAGATTTTGTCTGTTCTGCGCTCTCTGCGAGGAATCGTGGTTTTCTCACCCCTCTGGAGGATGTGATTGTGTATTCCCATGCCTGTGCTACTTTTGATCTTCCAGCTCATGTTGCCAGAAACATCAAACGCATAGCTCATCCACAGGTAAACATAGATAAAATGTTGGAACATATATTTTTTTGTTGTTGCTGATGTTGTGGGGATGTTAAAACTAGGAGTTAAGTTAAGTGACAGAATTATAATGGGATGGTTTTGGCAGGAAGCATAAAAGTCTCAAAATGAGGATTTTGGAAAGTTAGGATGTGCAGAATTTAACAAATGGAACTAGGCATGAGATAATAAAATAAAAAAGAAACGGCAAGGTTCAAATGAGTAATTAGTCTTGTCAAAGATGTTCTGTTCATTTGAGCCTTCCTTGAAAGCCTCACTTGATTTATGTTGGATGCTTAGTTGTAGGAATAGCTAATGGGGTTTCGTTCTAGAACCGCATTGCGGTTCAGAGCAAGAATCTTGTTCAGTCAAGATAGAATCATGCTTCCTACTAGATAACAAATATTATCATATATTTTGAATTTCCTTTATAGAATTAAAGAAATGTGATTTTTTGATAGATCTTTCAGTTAAAGATGTGTTCTATTGGTGATTAATTGTTACTTTATTGAGAACTGACTGTACTTATATTTTAATAGTTTAAGTGATAGTGTAATGCAGACATTATATGTTACAACCAAGCAACAAAATTGGTTTACAATGTATTTATATATCATAAACACTCTCTTAGGCACTCCCAACTTTAGACTCATTTATGTATCTGGTGAATGTTTGTCCTTCTGTGGTGAATGAAGGAGAAACCTCATTATAGACAGACTAAACCTTCTTTCCATTCGAAGAGACTTTATGTTGGTTCCACTTAGAAAATATGAGGAAGAAGAACTCCGAAAATATGAGGAAGAAGGAATATATTTCTGTTATATTCAATTCTTATCTTACAAGACCAAATGACACTCCTTATATAGGAGATATTACAAACATCATTATAACCCATTATATGCCACTTACATATTATATATTACCACTATCTACTACTATCATATTATATACATGCCACTATCTACCACCAACACCACTATCATATTCTATACATACCACTATCTACCACCAACACCACTATCATATGCCACTATCTTATTATATGCATTAACACAAATTTCCAGCAAAAAGGTATACACATTCACAACCTATAAGTGAATATTTGAATTAGCCCTAATCTCCTTGCTTTTCCTAGAACTTTAAGATTTGGTAGAAGGCTTTAGGCATGATTTGATCTTTCCATTCGAAGAGACTTTATGTTGGTTCCTTTCCTTGAAACATACAAGGTAAATAAAACTATTACGAGTCTATGCTTGGCATGGTATTATTATGCAAAGTTGATTAATAAAATTGGGAGTCTAAAGGTTGTAGCTTTGTGAGGTTACGATGTGTGTGGCCATTGTGTTTTTCATCTCTCTCCTTTCTCCCTCTCTGTTCTGCAGCAATTTGGTTTCAAAGCCCAATATCGATCAACCCACTTGTTCACTTTCCTGCCTTTCCGAGCCGTTTCCATCGCTGTCTTAACCTGGCCCACCAAGTTTGACCCAAAAATCCAACCAAAACATATAGCCCTAGACCCAACCAACTTTATAACCCTTACTTGACCAATAATAAACCCACAACCCAATTCGGCCTCCATCCAATTTAACTGACTTAGCCTATTTAAGCCACACAATCTAACCCATGTTTAAGCCCAAACAACCATATAACCTTACCAAATATAGCTTCCTTAAGCCCAATAATTTCAACATGAAACAATCTCAAATTTCTATAATTTAATCTAGGAACCAGTGACTCAATTTCAGCTCAGTTCTTTACAAAACCTCTTTTGCATATTTTTTCTCTCTTCATTATGGTAACCAATTCAGAGTTTTATTCAAAGTTTGAAGCCATTTTTGAAGACCAACTAGAGATAAGGAAATGTCATGCGGATTGTCAAAACAAATGAGTCAAATTATTGGCTCACTTTTCAAGAGTTCCTCAAAGGGATTGTGGTGAGGATCAAACAAAAATTGTTGATTAAGAGGTCCAAAGCACATGAATGGTGATGTGGACTTGATGGAAAATTCGGAAGGTATTGAAGTCCAAGAAGTCAAAATTGAAAAGACAAGTACATCCCACACATATAATGCTTTTATCAAAGAAGAGCTTTTTATTGACCCTACACAGACTGATCTGTTGATAAAGGTAAGCATGATTGTTGGAGATTTTCTTTGTTTGTTCAATCTGTGTTTGGTGGGCCTGGTCAACTACTTAGGAACTGAGATTAGTAGGATTCGGAAGAGAAAAACCCAGATAAGATATTCTAAGTATTTGATTTGTTGATGTGGATGAGTTCAAAATTTAAAAAGGAACTCGAGTTCGAGTTATTTTTCTCCACTAGGGAGAATGATGCGGAATATAGAATTCAATATTCATGCATGTACGCAACAAATTTGTTATGTTTTTAGGGTTATTAGCTAATAAAGAAGAACGGTTGGTATGGTGTTATACAGATTGATTTGTAGAATTGAGAGTTTAAAAGTTGTGGTCTTGTGTGATTGGGGTTGTGGCCGTTGTGTTCTTTCCCTCTCTCTTTCTTCCTTTCTGTCATCATCCTCTATATTTTAATATGTATAATTTTAATTATTTGGGAAGGTAAAGGGTTAGAAAGTACATATACACGGACTCGAAAATGGACATTCGGCACAACGATTTTCAAAGCGCTAGGACACAATAGGGATACATAAAAAAATGTATATTTGTTTATTTATATTTGCTATGTATATGAATACTATATCAACAAACAATAAAAAATAATGGAAATTGATTAATTTAACATGAAAAAACCACTCTTATAATTTAAACATCATCCAAGATAAAAAATACTATTTTGTTAACCATAACCTCCACATGTCAAAGACATTTAATTTTATAATGAATTAATCCTCCATCAAAGATAAATAATCACAAGTCAAACAAATCCTAGGGCATATCTAGAGGTAGGACACGTGTGTTCTTAACGTGTCTAATGAAGAAAAAATTGTGAAATAAACAAGCCATGTGGCGTATTAGATGTGTTACAGGGCTAAGCAAAAAATTCGAAAAAATTGCAAACTGGTCTGATCCAGACCAAACCGCATTGTTTGGTTTGATTTTCTCACGTTTCGGTCGTGGTTCTTAAAATAGGTGAACCATACTTCATGGTTCGGTCTATGGTTTTATAGTCATGATTCTGGTTTGGAACCAAACCGGACCATTTAGGTATATATATAATTTATTATTTATAGTAGACACTCAAGTATCTTATTTGTATCCTATATATATTCGTAAATTGTTAACTCTTTACTTACAAGTGTATACTTGTATAATAGTAGAATTAGTTCTAAACAATCATTTAAACAATTTTGCTTGTAAAATGATAATATATTACTTGATTTTTGAGCAAGTTGTGATTATGTTATGAATGATAACAAAATTCAAGCAAACTGCGGTTTCAAACCGAACCAAACTGCATTTTCATGGTTTAGTTTGCTTCTAAATTTTATGGAACCATAGGTAGTGGTTTGGTCTTAGTTTATTTCAAAACCAAATCATACTCACCCCTAGCGTGCTAGACGTGGATACAATGAACTGCCCATGTTTCATGTGTAGAGGCTTTTGAGAAAATCCTGTGTTCATCTGTAAATTCTCATACAAAGCAAGTTGTCTCACTGAAAACTTGTATTTAAAAATGTATTGGTTGTTGTAACTTTCGCTTCTCATTTCAATGATTTGATAGTTACTTACATGAGATCCCCAAGGTTTGGTCTCTTAACTGTTAAGTGGGCAAATAATAGTTACATGATGGTGTTGCAACTACACCTAAAAGTCATTGTGATTCATTGATCGTACTTTAATATAGGAATGGTTCTATTGTTATTTGTAATTAGATTGAGATCTCTATACAATGGGCTATATACATCAATCAGAATAGTCAAGGACATAAATGATGGATCGGTTTCTATTCTTCCAATCAATAGTTTTACGTGAGGGTCCATCCCTTTTCATTTGCTTCAAATGAACTAAATTGGAATGGTTAGCAGAGGTCCCATGTTGTACGATGTTTATCAATAATAGTCAAATATGGGTACATTATGAATTGGAAGATACTAAGAATCAAAGTAAGCAGAACATAGAATACTTAGGTTGCATTTTTTTTGAACAATGCGCATACATACGTTTTAAAGTATTTTAGGTTTTAAAGTACAGGATTCTACTTAATTTTTTTCTTCTTCTTATTATACTCTATATAGGTTTTCTAAGTCCATTTTTTGAATGTTAAAAGAGATTATACTATGATTTTTTAGTAATTTTTGGGTTGGTGAGATTTGGACACCCACATCTCTTACTACGAATCCAATTTCTTAACAATTAGATGGTGTTGTCATGTCCTTATATAAGACCTATTTTACAATGTATCAAAATCATTTTTTTTTGTCCATCTATACTGTTGTTCAACATATATTTATTTTTTAATTTTTAATTATAGTTTGTACTAAATCTTAATGATTCTCTATTCGATTCACTATTCACAAATTAGTGTATCGATTCACGATTTGCAAATTAATATATTGATTCGCGATGTAATTCTTGATTCGACTACTATAGTTAATACACCTCAAATTACACAAGATCTAGCATAAGTTGAAAAAGATTTTTCACAAAAAGAATTGTCACTTGGTAGGCATTGTAATGGGGAAACTCACTAAAACTTAAGGTTTCAATGATAATTGCTATATAAGGAAAAGGATTCACATGATTTAAGTTACTGGAGGAAAAATCTAGCTAGACACAATTAGCTGAGGTGAGGCATCACCATTGGTCAGTGCTGACTTGTCTAGCATTTGACAGAAGGAGAAGCCCATGTCAAATGGAGGTTTGATTATGATAATGATGATTTTAGTTGTTGAGATAAAGGTTGGAAGCTGTCACGATCTGAATCCGTCCCTAGAGACTTAGGCTGTGATCGGCCAGTAATCCCAGATTATCCAGCCGCAAAAACAGATAATCAATAATAGCAAACAGGGTACTGC